GCAAGGAGAAGCAGTCGACCAAGACATCGACTTTGGCGAAGGACGCCGACTCCGTTGCAGGCGGCAAGGGGGGAGACGACAAGACGGCGTCGTGCTCGCTGGTCGGCGTCGTGGAGCCGACCATCTCTCTGGCGCCGGAGGCCGGAGAGGACTTCCAGGCGGTGGCGGCGGCTGTGCAGGCAAACCCGGCGGTGGTCCTGCTTGACAGCGGTTGCTCCCACCACCTGATGGGGACGAAGGAAGTCTTCGTCGACCTGCAGCCGAGCGGCTTCATCAAGCACGTGCGCGGCTTCAATGGGGCGCTGCAGGATGTCCAGGGCCGCGGCACCGTCGCCCTGCAAGGGGAGGCCGGGAAGCAGGTGCTCATCCCCGACGTGCTGTACGTCCCGGGTGTGCGGGCGAAATTGCTGTCGTCCGGCCAGCTGAAGGAGCACGGTGTGAAACTGCAAGAGGACGGTGACGGGATGCTGCTCGTCTCGGCAACGGGAGAGGTGCTCGGTCGGGCGACGTACTCCGGGCGTGTCCTCTGCACCGACCTGCGTCCCTGCCCAACGAGGTCGACGTCGCCCACGACGGAGGTTGTGGCTCTGCGGGCGATCGTCTCGAAGACGAAGTCGACGCCGGACCGTATGCATGCCCGGCTTGCACATGTCGGCATGGACACCATACGGAGCTCGGCGAAGAACGAGGTCGCCATTGGGCTGGACCTCAAGTCGGCGACGGGCGCTGACTCACCTTGTGTCTCGTGCGTCGGCGGGAAGCTGGCGCAGCACACCTTCCCCGACCACGGCTCCGATGCCGACGATGTGCTGGCCGTCGTGCACATCGACCTGTGCGGGCCATTCCGCGTGGCTGCCAAGGATGGCAGCCTGTACTTCTTGTTGCTGAAGGACCGCAAGACCCGCTACGTGTGGGTGAAGCCGGTCACCAAGAAGTCAGATGCGTTGCCGGCGTTCGTGCAGTGGCTGGCGGTGGCTGAGAGGCAGACGAAGAAGTCGGTGTTGATGCTGCGCTCAGACCGGGGAGGGGAGTTCCTCGGAAAGCAGTTCACCGACTTCGTGAACGACAAGGGGATCGTCCACGACCTGACCTGCCCATACACCCCGCAGCAGAACGGCATGGCGGAGCGGGAGATGAGGACGGTGGTGGAGTCAGTGCGGACAATGCTGCTGCACATGGGCGTGCAGCACCACTGGTGGCACCTCGCTCTGCGACAGGCCATCTAGGTCCGCAACTGTCTTGAGAGGTCGACGCTGCCACCGGGGACGACGCCATACCAGCTCCTGACCGGGAAGAAGCCCGACTTGTCGCTGGCGCGGGTGTGGGGCTGCATGGCGCAGTTCCTTGTCCCTGAGCAGCAGCGTGGTGGGAAGCTGCAGCCGAAGGCCAGGTGGGGCCTGCACCTTGGCGTGTCGGCGCCGAGCAAGGGCTGGGAGCTCCTCGACGTTGACGCCGACCGGGTGGTCACCACGTCGGATGTGGTGTTCTACGAGGAGCTGTCGCTGGCCGAGTGGAAGACGGAGTACGGGTCGGTGTCCGGCCGCTCGTCGCCCACCCCGCCCTCTGACACCTCGTCGGCGACGCTGCCACTGCTTGCCGAGGTCGGTGAGCTTGCTATTACGGACGTCGAGGACGTCTGCCCCCCTACCCCTCGCCCTCCGACCCCTGCCCCTCCCCTCGTGGCCGACCTACCTGGGGTGACCTCGGTGTCGGCCTCCGGCGATGAGGGGAGTAGTGGGACGTCGCCTTCGGCCAAGTGCATCGCCGGTGGCCGACGTGACGAGCGGCAGGTCGACGTGGGATTGCAGTCGACGCCGACAGGGGAGGAGCAGGTCGAGAAGAAGGTCGAGGACCAGCGGCCGACAAAGAAGAAGGCAGCAGTGACGCCGACCAAGGAGCAGTCGGCGACCGGGCAGTCAGCAGGGGAGCCGACCATAGGGGAGAAGTCGGCTGGGACGCCGGCTGAGGAGCAGCAGGACGCCGAGGGCAGCGACAACAGCAACGATGGAGGGGACGCCGAGGAGGTCCAGCCAGGACCACGGCGTTCAGGCCGACTTCGGAGGCCGCCTGACTTCTTCGTCCCCGCTGCCTTCACCACGGTGTACGACGTGGACGATGAGGCCGACGACCTGCTGTACGACGATGCCGAGGAGGATGAGGAGTTTCCAGAGCTCGACCCCGACATGCTAGCCGACCCCGAGCACCGTTGGGACATCTCGACGATGACGGTGAAGGACGCATTGGCGAGCTGGAAGGGCCCGGCGGTGAAGGCCGCCGTGGAGGAGGAGATTCGCAGCCTCCTCAACATGGGAACGTGGGAGTTGGTCGAACGTCCGCCGGGAGTGAATGTCATGAAGAACCGGTGGGTGTTGACGACTAAGTACCACGTTGACGACACCGTCGAGCGCGAGAAGGCGAGGCTGGTTGTGAAGGGCTTCACGCAGGTGTACGGCGCCGACTACGACGAGACGTTCGCGCCGGTGGGCAGCTACGTCACGCTGAGGATCTTCCTCAGCATCGTCGCCGTCCGCAACCTCAACCTGATGCAGCTCGACATGAAGAACGCCTTCTTGCAGAGCAAGCTCGACAGGGTGCTCTACATGTCCCAGCCGGACTACTTCAACGACGGGACCGGCCGGGTGTGCAAGCTGCTGAAGAGCCTGTACGGGCTAAAGCAGTCGCCGCTGCTATGGTACTTGGCGCTCAATGACGTGCTGGTCGGCGCCGGGTGGAAGAAGAGCCAGGTCGACGAGGCTCTCTACTTCAAGGACGGAAAGGACGGAGTGGCCTGCTGGGTGCTGGTCTACGTCGACGACCTACTTGCCGCCAGCAGTAGCGCCGCGATGTTGAAGGAGCTGAAGGAGCTGCTGGAAGCCGCCTTCGAGCTGCGTGAGATCTCGCCGGTACAGAAGTACCTCGGGCTGGAGATCGTCCGCGACAGGTCGGCGGGGAAGCTGTGGCTGCACCAGCAGGGCTACGCCGACAAGCTTTGTAGGCGCTTCATCGACGAGGAGCAGACCGGGCGCACTCCGAAGACGCCGGTTTCGGTCGATGCCTACGCCGAGCTCACGTTCGATGACGAGGAGGCACAGGAGCGGCAGGAAGAGGAGTACCGGCAGAAGGTCGGTTCGCTGCAATTCGCGGCGACGACGACGAGGCCGGACATCGCCTTCGCCTGCAGCAAGCTGGGGAGCGGCCTCACGGTGATGAGCGACCAGCACTGGCGCGAGGTCGACCGCTGCCTCGCCTACCTCGCCAATACGCGCGACACCGCACTGGAGTTTGGCGGTGGACCTGAGTCGTTGGAGCTGGTCGGCTACGTGGACGCCGACGACGCCGGTGACAAGCAGAACAGGACGAGCACGGGTGGCTACGTGTTCGTCTATGGAGGGGCCGCAGTCTCCTGGTCGAGCCAGCGCATCAAGTGTGCGACGTTGTCGTCGACTGAGTCGGAGTACGTGGCAGCCACCGAAGCCGGCAAAGAAGGACGCCGACTTCGCTTCCTCCTTGCAGAGTTCCGGCAGCTGGATGCCGGGAAGCCGACCGTCCTTCGGGTGGACAACAAGTCGGCCATCACAGTCGTCGAGGGCATGGGGTTGACGGGCAACCTCAAGCACATGGAGCGGCGACAGGCCTGGCTGCAGCACATGGTGAAGCGCGGGAAGTTCTCGCTAAGGTACATCCCGACCACTGAGCAGCCGGCCGACTTCCTGACAAAGGCGCTGCACTATCCGGCCTTCAACCGGTGCTCCGTCGCCATCGGCCAGGTGCGCTTGGCCGACGTGGGCAACGAAGATGACAACGTGCAGCAGTAGGTACCATGCCCTCTTGCATGGCTGGTGCGGTGGACGACGTGCTGTGTGTTGGGTGCACGTCGACGAGCTATTCTCCGAGAAGTACTGCTGAGTGGACTTGGGGGGGCCAAGCGTGAACGCGGCAGGGGAGTGTCAACGGGAGTTGTGTGTTGGCCCCGTCCACGCTTGGGCGGAGCCGACTTTGTGGTGGGGTGTACGGAAGGTACAGCCGACTTGCAGCAGTGGGGACGCCGACTTGGACGAGCTGGTCGACGGGGTTGGTCGACTTGCACGGCGCCACTGCAATGCCGCCGACTTGGGAAGCCGGCGGCCGACTTCAACTGGTGGTCGGCGATGTGGCACGTCGACCTGGAAGTCGGCACCGACTTGCAAGGTCACCGACTTGCAAGGTCACCGACTTGCAAGGTCACCGACTTGCAAGGTCACCGACTTGCCAGGTCACCGACTTGCAAGGTCACCGACTTGCAAGGTCACCGACTTGCAAGTCGGCGCCGACTTGGGAGGACGCCGACTTCGAGAGGTCAACCTGGAAGTCGGCGCCGACGTAGAAGGGGCGTCGACCTGGTGACGCCGACTTTGGGTAGCCGACTTGGGTGGTCGGCTGACAACTGCACTGGTCGACCAGGAGTGACGTTGACCTGGAGCTGGTCGACCAGAGGAGTGGTCGACCTGGTGAGGTCGAATTGGTGTGGTTGTCGACTTGGGAGGTCGACGAGCACATACAGGAGCAGCTGGTCGACATAGTTGCCCGGCCGACCAGGATACCTGGGTGACGAGGTTCTGCGAAGGAGTGCGACGGTCACCCAGGCGAAGTTGGCGAGACCGACCTCCATGGTGGTATCCCGAGGTCGTCGTGGCGGATCAGAGGCAGTCGCTAGCCCGAGGTTGACCTGGTGTGTGCGCTGTGCAGATGACGAGACTTTGCATGCCAATCATCTGCGCGCACCTGGCGACGCGAAGGGGCCGTGTGAGGGCGCGACGGTAGGGAGGGCACACAGAGCGCGAAGCGCGCAAAAAATATATCATGGTTGGCCATAGGAATCGTTCCCACTAGGGAACCTGCTCGATACCATGATAAGAAACGAGGAATGAATGCATTGAGCAGAATGAGGAGTACAAGTAGTAAACCCTCAAGTGTTGTACCCCATAGGAGTGGTAGCGCTGGTGGAGGTGTCGGTGGCAGCAATGGAGGCGGAGGATGCGGCGGCGGTGGCGGAGGGAGTGGAGGCGGCGGAGGTGGTGGAGGCGGCGGAGGCGGCGGAGTTGGCGGAGGCGGCGGTGGCAGCAGTGGACCTGGTCGCGGCTCCGCACAGAGGAGTGGGTCCGGTGGTGGTCCGCGCTAGGAGCAGCAGCGCAGTCGTGAGACCCTGTCCCCTCAGCAGCTTCGTGAGTGGTACGCTGCGCGTTAGCGCGGTGGGGGTACTGGTCCCTGCACCTACGTTCTCTGTACCGGCGACCGCGCTGGTGAGTAGTGCAGGGGCCCGCACTCCACCCAGCGCTGCTTCGGCCGCCTGACGGACGCGTGGCGTCACCAGTTCCCTGAGGCCTCTGAGATCCCTCGCTTGGGAGAGCTGTCTAGGGCGGGGGTTGCTATCTTTGATCTTGATTTTGATGCTATTCTTGCTGCCATGTATGCTGTGTCTGAGAGTGTTGAGGGTGACTGTTACCTATGTGTTCCGCCTGACCCGGGCATTGAGACTGCTGCTCAAGGTAGTGGTGAGGTTGCTGCTCTAGGTGCTAGTGCGTCCGCTGCCCCAGGTGCTGGTGAGTCTGCTCTCTCAGGTACTACGTTGGCTCAGGGTCGAGCCTGTACACCCTCACTACTGAGTCTCCTCCGGCTGCTGAGTCTGGCCAGGTAGCTGCGACGAGTCAGGTGTTTGCTGCAGCATCCAGGTCTAGTCCTGAGTCTTCTCCCTGCTCGTGTCGTCTCCTGTCTCACCAGACTCTCCTTTGGCACCACCGCCTTGGTCACCCCTCCCTGCCTCGTCTCCGAGGCATGGCCTCCCATGTCCTTGTCTCTGGTCTCCCTCGGTCTCTCCCTCCCCTACCTCCGGGGCCTGCCCCTACCTGCGTCCCCTGCGTCAAGGGGCGACAGCGCGCCACCCCTCACTCCTCCGAGTTTCCTCCAACAAAAGCTCCGTTGCCGACTCTTCACATGGACGTGTGGGGCCCCGCCCGCGTGCGTGGCCAGGGGCACGAGCGTTACTTCCTGTTGGTGGTTGACGACTATTCGCGTTACACCACGGTGTTCCCCTTGCGCAGCAAGGGCGACGTCACTGAGGTGTTGATCGACTGGATCCGCGCAGCTTGTCTCCAGCTCAGAGAGAGTTTCGGCTCTGACTTTCCTGTTCTGCGTCTGCACTCTGATTGAGGCGGGGAGTTTTCCTCTGCCCGTCTTGGAGCCTTCTGCCGAGCACAGGGCATCCGCCAGACCTTCACGCTTCCGGCCTTTCCACAGCAAAATGGGATTGCTGAGTGCCGCATTGGCATGGTCATGGACGTCGCTCGTACGTCCATGATCCATGTGGCTGCCCCCCATTTTCTGTGGCCGTTTGCGGTTCAGTACGCGGCGCATCAGCTCAACCTTCAGCCCCGGGTCTCCTTGCCAGAGACCTCCCCCACCTTGCGGTGGACGGGGAAGGTTGGCGTTGCGTCTGCGTTTCGGGTCTGGGGATCTCGGGCGTTTGTCCGCGACTTGTCTGCGGACAAGCTGTCCCCCCGTGCTGTTCCCTGCGTCTTCCTTGGCTTCCCCCCTGACGCGCCTGGTTGGCAGTTTTACCACCCCATCTCGCGCCGTGTTCTGTCCTCCCAGGACGTCACCTTTGACGAGTCGGTGCCTTACTATCGTCTCTTCCCCTACCGCGCTGCTCCCCTTCTCCCGCCGCCGCTCTTCCTTGCGCTAGGTCCTCCCCCGGTAGACCCCCTCCCCCCTCAGGGTCCTGCCCCGTCAGGTGTGTCCCAGGTAGACGTAGTCAAGACTGTCAAGGTAGCTGTTGACTCTGGTGCTGCTAGAGGTGCTGAGCCTGCGGGTGCCAGGTCTGGAGGTACTGAGCCTGGGGGTGCTGAGCCTGGGGGTGCTGAGTCTTGGGGTGCTGAGCCTGGGGGTGCTGAGTGTGGGGGTGCTGAGTCCGGAGGTGCTGAGCCAGGGGGTGCTGATCCTGGGGGTACTGAGTCGGGAGGTGCTGAGCCTGGGGGTGCAGAGCCTGGGGGTGCTGGGTCTGCTCGTGTGGCCTTTCACTGTGCTTCGTCGAGACGGGAGCCACTCTCTCCGCAAGAGCTACGCGAGTGGTTTGCCCGCCGCTGGAGCCGTGCTGCTAGAGCTGGAGGTTCTACTGTTGCCGCTGGTCCTGGTGGTACTGGAGCTGCTGGGACTGGGGGTGCTGCTGGGGCTGCTGGAGTTAGTTCTGCTGGTTGTACAGCTGGTGCTGCTGGCAGTCCTGGAGCTGACGGTCCTGCTGGAGTTGGTGCTGCTAGAGCTAGAGTTGGAGCTGCTGGGGGTGTTGGCGCTGGTGGTGCTACTGGCGCTGGTGCTTTTGAAGGTGCTGGAGTTGGCGCTGTTGTAGCTGGAGGTGCTGCTGGTCCTGGTACCCCCGCTGGGGATACTGGTGCTGTCCCTCCTGGTTCTGGAGGCGCTGCGTGGCCGAGGCCGTACTTCGTTCCCCTTCTTGAGCAGGTTCTTGGTCTCCCACCCTCTATTGGTGCTGCTCCTCCCTTAGAGTGTCCACAGCCTGTCCAGTCGCAGTCACAGTTACAGCCTGCCTCCCCCCTGCCTGCTCCTTCTCTCTACACTGGTCCTACTAGAGGTCTTGTTGAGCGTCGTGAGCCTGCGTCTTGTCCTGCGTTGCCTGTTCGTGCCACTTGCACCAGTCGTCGTGCTCCGCGTCCGCGTCCTCCTGCGGTCCCAGGCACACACCAGATGGCACTGCGTCCTTCCACTGCTCCTCTGCGCGTCCCGTTGCCGTCTCCTCCAGAGTCCTCTCTTCCTGTTCTTGCTGACCTGGAGTCTGACTCTCTTCGTGCTGCCAGTCCTACTGTCACGCGTCTCCTGGCTACTGTTGTCACTGACCCTTCCTTTGAGTCCACTGCTGCGTCTGCCCTCGTTGCTGAGCTTGTCGACTTTGCTGCTCGCTGTCGTCTAGACTACGCTACTAGTCTTGTTGCTGAGTTTGAGTATGTTTGTCCTCCGTCCGTCGGGGGTGAGTGTCTCCTTAGCACGGACGTCCTTGAGGACAGGGAGGAGGAGTTCCAGTGTTTTGCTGCTGCTTTGCCTCATCAAGTGTCCATGCTGATTGCCCCTGAGGGAGACCCGGATGCACCAGACATCCCGACTCCTCGATCGTACGCTGAGGTGATCGAGGGTCCCTACTCCTCACAGTGGCAGTCAACCATAAACGCAGAGATGGCTTCCTGGAATTCCACAGGCACCTACGTCGACGAGGTTCCCCCACCTGGGGCGAACATCATCAGTGGCATGTGGATTTTCAGGGTGAAGCGGCCGCCGGGTTCTCCGCCTATCTTCAAGGCGCCTTACGTGGCTCGAGGCGTCAGTCAGCGGCAGGGAGTTGACTACTTTTAGAACTTTCTCTTCCACCCCGAAGATGACCATTCTTCAGGTACTGCTGCACATAGCCGCTCAGCGCGACTACGAGCTTCACTCTCTTGACTTCAGAACAGATTTCTTGCTGGGCAACCTGCACGAGGAGATCTGGCTGCGCCACCCACCTGGCTTCACTGGGTCGTTTCCTCTTGGTACCTAGTGGAGCCTCTGGCGGCCAGTATACAGTCTCCGCCAGGCGCCACGTGAGTGGCACGACACACTGAGGACTACACTTGCGGCTCTTGGGTTTTCTTCTTCTACTCCCGACGCGTCGCTGTTTATGCGCACCGACACCTCTTTGCCGCTGTTCTACATCCTCGTGTACGTCGACAACTTGGTCTTTGCCACTGCTGACACTGCTGGACTCGCCCATGTGAAGTCCGAGCTAAAGAAGAGACACACGTGCACAGACCTGGGTGAACTGCGCAGCTACCTTGGCTTGCAGATCACCCGGGACAGAGCACAGCGCACCATTACCCTGACTCAGTCACACATGGTGTAGCAGGTCCTTCAGCGCTTCGGCTTCACGTACTCCTCGCCTCAGGCCACTCCTCTGTCTACTCGCCACTTCCTCTCAGCTCTGCCTTCGGATGAGTCCGTAGAGCGGAGTGGCCCGTACCTAGAGCTTGTTGGCTGCCTCATGTACCTGATGACCTGCACACGACCTGACCTTGCATACCCTCTTAGCATCTTGGCACGCTATGTTGCTCCTAGGAGACACCGACCAGAGCACATGGCTGCAGCGAAGAGGGTGTTGCGCTACTTGTGCAGTACGTCGGGCATGGGGCTAGTGCTTGGAGGGCGACGTTGAGTGGTCCTCACAGGTCACACAGACGCTTCTTGAGCTGACTACCAGCCTACACAGCGGTCGTCACAGGGTTACACCTTCAGCCTTGGCTCCGGCTCTGTTTCGTGACGGTCAACCCGCTCGTCTTCTGTTCTCACCTCCAGCTGTGAGGCTGAGATCTACGCGGGGGCCATGGCTGCACAGGAGCTACGCTGGCTCACCTACCTGCTGACTGACCTAGGAGAGCCGCCTCGTTCTCCTCCAGTTCTGTACGTAGACAACAAGGCCATGCTGGCCTTATGTCGAGAGCACAGACTGGAGCACAGAACGAAGCACATTGCTCTTCGCTACTTCCTGGCTCATGAGCTGCAGCAGCATGGTCAGCTACGCCTTACCTACTTGGCCTCTGAGGCCAACACTGCTGATATCTTTACCAAGGCACTTCCGCCTTGTGATCATCAGCGCTTCTGTACTATGCTAGGTCTTGTGCCTACTTGGCCTCACTTGCTCACTTCTTGACCTTGCTTGTACTGTGATCTTTTTATACCTGCACTTGCTTGTTTACCTTTATATATATGATCTTGCATGTGAACTGGCCTTGTGGCCTTGCTCTTGTGCTCGGACTGTGTGGTGACGTTGTGATCCACCTTGAGCTTGCTGTACTTTGCTTGACTGGTCTTGTGACCCCTTTTTCTCCCCCACTTTGCCTATGGGGGTGTGTCAGGCTTATATGCTATAGTCTATGTAGGCTGTAGTGGGGTATTTCATATGGGGTACAACACTTAAGGGTTTCCTACTTGTACTCCTCACCTTGTTCAATGCAATCATTCCTCGTTTCTTATCACCTAGTTCGTAGCTCCCCTGCACGCTGCCGTATCAATGAGACTGCTACGATGGCTGCAGCTCAATTGCTGGCGAACACCTTCAAGCAATGCTCGCAAAAGGGCGTTGCGCGAATCATAGAGGTGATTCGCGAATGGATGGCGACTGAGCAGTCGCAGACGAACCGACCGCTCAATTTCGGAGGCGCGCTGGCAGATGATAGCTGGCCGACAGATGGGGATACCCAAGCTGGAGGTGACGTCGATGACGGTGTGGAGGTGTGGCGTCGGAGTGATGACGATGCTTAAGGTAATCTTCATGTAGCGCCTCGCGAACCTTTTGTGGCGCTCTTTGAGATTTGCCTTCGTAACTGCCAGGTCCGCGTTCCAGTTGTACTGCGCTAATTCGCCCCTTGTCCACCACAGGTCTCGATTGATCGAGACCGCATTCCACTCATGATTCGGATTTTTCATCCTTGCTCCCGCCATCTTGATGCCCATGTTGTGCAGTATCACCACACAACTCGCGCCCGCAAGGACTCGCCATAAGGCACAATCGTGCAGTCACGCGAAGAGGCGGTAATGTGAGAATTGAGGAATGAAGAAGAGAGAGTTTCACTAGCAGCAATGAGGATACATATAGCAAACCCTAGATGGGTTGTACTCGTTATAGAGCACCCCATTACAGGCTAGAGAATAACATTCTGACAGGTAACGCCCTTTGAACTGCCCAATCGTGCGCTCCACTGACATGCGGGTGGCCGATTGGCAGTAGTTGAAAGTTTGCTCCCACTCTAGCATGAGGCGGCCGGTGGGAGCGTGTAGAGGGGTGAGGCAATAGCTGCAGAGAGGGTAGGCCGCGTCGCCAACCAGCTGGTAAGGCGCGATGTTCCCCCTTTCTAGGCGTTCGTAGAGGCTTGACTGGACGAACACCCGTTGGTCATGCGCGGTGCCGGGAAAGACAATAAGGTAGTCCCATATGATTCCCTTGGCGTCGCAGGTTACTTGTAGCTGCACTGCATATTGAGATTTTCTAGTAAAGTATTTGGCTCTGTGCCCTTCCATTCCACGTATTTGAATCTGGGTCCCATCGATAGCTCCAATAACCATGGGCACGCCTTTTATGCTGCGGAACTCCTCAGCCATTTCACCCATTTCTTCTCTTGTCGGGAAACGTACCCATTCTGCTTTGAACACACGTGGGAAGTTCGACAGGAAGATGTCCACTAGCTTATGACAGAGCGTTTTAGGGACGCCGAACCAGAAGGCCAAGTCGATGTACGCCATCGCACTGGCGAAGTACTTGATCGGCACTAGAACGGCGACTCTAATGGGTATGCTGTGGCGCTGGATTACCGGGTTTAGTATGGCCGACATGCCATCGCAAATGTAGTCTAGTATTGCACGGTTAATAAGTCGACAAACGTCTCTTCCGACATTGATGCCATTTCATCTTCCCACACTCCAAGACGACGCCGACGCAAACGGCGGTTCCTAGAACGCAGTTCACTTCGCGACTCCACGGCATGCTCTTTGAAATCGCCGTGGTTAATCTGCTCGAGAAATTGGACGCAGACATTAATCGCACTATTAACAAAACTTTCGTAATAGAAGGCATGCCACACTATTAACAATCGCGGCAGGAACGGAACGTCATTCATGGTGTGTGTTTGAGCTGTTGAAGCAATTGCATAATGTATGAGCCGATGTCAACACCTTTCATTAGCTCAGTCCCGATTGGTGTGTGGTTGTGAAGTTGCT